AGTGTGTGTGGCACTGAGGGGGATCACAGCAGAACATCCAGAGACATGTGTGCTCACACACCTTCACATCTCCTCGCAGGTGTGTTAGTCTCTCCCCTTTACTTTGTATCCATATAACTATCATTATCTGCAGAAAACTGCGTATTTTCGGAATAAAAATGAGCTGTTTTTCCCCTCCATATTCTCACTGTATGAGCCATAAAAGCCTGACGCATCAAATACAGGTGTGCTGGAGTCTGAGCAGGTGTCTCTCTCAGGTGTTCACACACGACACGATCTGATCTGGAAACAGCAGCTCTAGAGCAGGACAGACAGAAGCGCTTCACAGCATGCTCCGCATCTTCATGTGCTGATTCATATCGCTGCAGGAGCGCGTGAGGCTGTCAGTAAATGAGCTTTGGGCTCCATCTAGTGGACATTATTGGAGCTGAAATATTAACTTTAGTCCCTCCTGCGAGCTTAACTTAACATTTCAATCGCTTGCCAACACATTCGCATGTTCCCTGTTCTCTGATGCAGCAAACAAATGCATTATTTCACCCTTTTCAGTAAGAGTTTATCTGTCTGTCTGTCTATCAGAACTCAACACTACTCAAACCCTGCCTGTAGTTTGGTTAGAAAGATCCAGAAACTGGATTAAGGCCTTATCTAACAGCACCAAGAGAAAATAGGTAGAAATTCTTCATGCATACAGTTTCTATTACAACAGAGAACACTATCCTGAATCCCACAATGCAAAGCGCATGATCTTAAGTCTCCTGTGTGAAGAGAAAAACATATCAGTCAAGACTGTTAAAAGTGACAGTTCATCCAAAAATGACCATTCTGTCCTCGTTCAGTCTCCCTCGTGGCTCCAAACCTCCATGACTTTCTTACTTCTGTGGAACACAAAGATCTGACACATGAATACATGTAAACATAGATGAGCTCCACTGATCCTCTCACACAAACTGTAACTGATGTGCTGTGAATAAACAGCTGTAGCTGAGCTCCTCGCTGATCATGAGAGAACAGAGCTTCATTACACTGTCAGGAGCAAACGAGCCACCGGCCCCTGACGAGATGCAGCTGCGCAGCACCACACACACACACACTCACACTCTCTCTCTCTCTCAACATCAAACACCTGAGACATCAAACTACTAATGGATTGCTTCTATTTTTTTATCAAAAGAATTATACTGATATATATATATATTCTTTACAGTTATTTAAGTAAGTATCGTCACATCTGTGATGCTAATTATTAGTTATATAATGGGCAAATGTTACACTTCGGTGATTAAAAAAGAGACGAGAGGGGAGAAGCTAAAAATCAAGGGTGATATTTTCAGATATTAAACGCCAGTCAGTTTATGCAGACTCAGGTCATGAGGTTTCTGAGCATGCTGACACGGGCCATCAGTAAAATAACATTAAACGCTTTAACTAAAAGCCTCACACATAAGGTCAATGCCAATATTTTGTGAGAGAATGCAAAAGCTTTGAAATGCAATCTCATTTTGTTCCATCACAGTGTCCCTTTAGGGAATCCGCTTATATATTCTTGCATCAATGGAAGCACCAAATGGAAACTAGCCATAGCAACAATAGTTCTCCTTTCCTATGAGAATATAAAGCCAAAATCAATTCACACAAGAAATCTTGTAGCATTGCTTCATCATTTGATTCCCTAAATATGTCCTTTGGTCATGTTTCACTCACGTCTCAAGGCGGTGAGATTTTCATTTTGATTTGAATTCTTTTGATTTGCATACTGATCAGGTAATCTCTGGCTAACGGTTTGACAAAGAGAACGACAAAACACAAGTACACAAAACTGGTTAGAAGGATACAATTGTAGTTTCTTTTTTTCATGTAGAAATTATTTTTCTGCTTAACACACTATGTACAATGCACCATTTATAGTTTACAGGCAGTGTACACTAAATCCACACAAATTCGTTCTGTCGAAACGACTTTCCAGACTCAAAATTTATTATTCCAGTATGGTGCCCAAAGGATTCCAGGACACTTTATATTAGACTCATGAACTAAAGTGCAAAAAGATTTGCTATATTTCTAATCCTGTGACAAAAGTTCAGTCACTAATATTGAATGACAGAAGGTGTGATGGTAATTCCCTAGCTGGTGCTCGGCTTAGAGAGGTCATTTTATAGTCTCCAGGTTGTGAGTGATCTGATCCGAAAATGCTATTTGTGTTCTGGAGGAGATGTTATATGTCTTATAAAACGTTCTCTGGTGTTCTGATACTTTTTATTTTTAACAAGGCTGTGCAAATGCATCTTAAAGTAGTGGCAGTTTTGCAGTTGTTACATTCCCTTTAAGACATTTTTGGCAAATGACAGAATGTGGGTCTATTCTGTGAAAAATTTAAAAGCATTAATTTACCAGATCCCTGTTGAAAAGACCAGCGTTTATACTCAAGTATGACTTTAGGGCCTCTGTAGAAACATCATGCTGGTTCTCTAGCACAGTGGTTCCTATCCCTGTTTCTGGAGGTCCCCAAACACTGTACATTTTCAATGTCTCCTTTGTCTGATACATACCAATTTCAGGTCTTGGAGTCTCTACTAAAGAGCTGATGACCTGAATCAGGTGTGAAACATGCAGAATGTGCAGTGTTTGGGGCTCCACAAGCAAGGAAATCCACTGTATCTTGCATGTTTTGCTAGAAATCAACATGAATACATTGGTTCACCAGTCAGACCGCTGCAATTCAAACTGGTCTTTCTTTGCCTCTTTTGTTGAAGTGGAGATGGACTGGAGGACTGTAGATGAGGAGGCAGTGGAAGCAGGAATGGAAGATGGACTTAAGGTTGGAGTGGACAGAACGTTTAAGGTCTGAGTCTGGCTAGCAGCGAGCTTCTGTGGGTGTGAAGCAGCTGGAGATGGAGTTGATGAGGGAGAAGGTGATGGTGCAGCAGCAGGGGCTTTAGCAAGTGGAGCTTGTGTCTGCGATTGGGTCAGAACAGGGGTTGACGGTCCACTTTGGGCTGGGGTATTGATAGGAGAGCCTGGGGTCCAGGAAGGGCTCAGAGTCTGTATGGTAGTTGAGGTTTGGGTTTGACTGGAGACTGCAGAACAAGTCGAAGGAGGACCAAGAACATGGACAGCGGCTGGCATCTGGACAGCAGCACTCTGACCCATGGTGGAACTCATAGGTTTACTTGGAGTCTGAGTGGGAAGCAGACTCTGAATGGAGGTTGAGGTCGGAGCTTGTGCAGCTGCTGGGATCTGGACGGGAGTTGGACACCGACCCTGGGATTGGGTTTGGATGGCCACTGGTGTTCTAGATTGGGTGGGGGTCTGAATAGGGGTTTGAACAGGGGTTGGGGTTCGGGTCGGGGTGGGGGTTTGAGAAGGAGTGATGGTGGGCGTTGAGTTGGTGGTGCAGGATAACGGGGACGGTGGAGGAGGCGTCTGAGAGAGTTTGGTACGGGAATTCTGAGCCAAAGAGGTGCCGGAAGGTGAAGTTGGAGAGGTGGAGGTGGACTGAGAGGGAGAAGGAGGGCGTAGGCAAGGAGGAGGAGAGGTTGAAGGAGGAGTAGGTATCGGAGTGCCTGATTTGGCTCGCTGGGTTTGAGGAACCCCTAGACCAGAAGATGTGGCCGCAAGGGATAAAGGAGGGTTGGTGGAATAAAGAGGGGTTTGCTTTGAGGAGAACGAGAAGGGGGCAAGGGGTGACGGATTTGATCCTGGAGCTGATGTGAGTGGAGGTGTGTGTGCCAACAGCAGGGGTGTTTGTGTCGGCACCTGTGTGGCACCAGGCGCGTTTGAGCTCAAAACACCTGCACTTCCTCCTCTAGCAAGTCCTGATGACAAAGCGAAGGGTGCCGGAAGCAGGTTTCCTCCGGATGCTTTGCGATGGAGAGGCGGGTGAGGTTGCACGCTCGCCCAGCTGCGGTGGGGGAGAGTCGGCTGGGAGGCGGAGAGCAGTCTGGCCTCCTGGGTAAGCCGACCAATCATGGGAAGGCCCTGGGTGCTGCCTCCTCCAACATGACGTAGTAAAGACTCTTTGGCCCCCTGCGGAGCAGAGCCAACATTGTGCCCTTCGACGGACGTCGCCGCCACTGCTGAAGAGGGAGGAGGGGCTTTATGGACAGGTAATGTTGTGGGTTCTGTGTGGAGGCGGAGACTGTAATAAAGTGTCCTTCCAGCCTGCAGGGGGGCGGGCACTGACGAGGCAGGTGTAGGAGGAGTTTTTGCAACTCCACCCCCTAAAGGAGCCATGCCCACAGCAGTCGGTCCAATAGTGGAGGGCGAGGGTGTAGGAGTTACAGAAGATGGGACTCCTCGGGGGGGCATCCCGCCCATTACACCGATGAAAGAGCTGAGCCAACTGTTGCTGCTGCTGTTGCTGATGCATCAAGGCAATGGCCACGTTGGTGGTGGCAGCGGCCGTCTGGAGGGGAGCATGGACCAGTGGTGCCCAGATCACCGGATGAGGTCGGGGTGAGACCGTGCCTCCCGTGCTGCCTCGGGTGCCAGCGGCGATGTCCTGCATGGCAGGCATGCTATCGTGCTTCACGATCTGCTGGACCAGAACACTGTCGCAAGAACTCAGACCGGCGCCTCCTGCTCCTCCTCCGTGGCTCCCTCCACCCCGTCCCAAACTGCTGCCTGCTACAGATCCTCCCTGTGAGGTCTTGCGCAACAAAATCGAGTTCTTCTTACCTGTGAGAAAAAGGAATTCAGAATAGGGTTAGGACAAATTATTAATGTGCTTGTCACGTATGGACTCATTATATGGTGTTTTGACATTTTTTTGTCAGTTCCCATTTCCATTCTTTTTACTGTAAACGTCTGGGATATGGATTTAGAATGACATGAAGGTGAGTAAATGATGACAGATGTTTTCAATTTGTCTCTTTTTAACTACAAAATCAGCTATAAAGTTGGAGGACGGTTTTACCGATGCGATCGAGTCTGTCTGCCGCCACCGTCTCGAAAGCCCGTCTCATCATGGGATGCTCTTCCAGAACCTCATTGAAACTGTCCACACTGAGGGAGTAAAGTCTACAGTATGTATCTGCTCGGACACTAGCTGTCCTCCTGCCGTGCGTCAACAGACAGATCTCTGAGGGATGGAGAAACACGACGAGGAGGTTAGAAAGGACTCTTTAGGATAATTAAAGACTTAAACAACCAGACCAAGGCAATAAACCTGGTTCTGAAGAGCTCATAACAAATATCTGACATCAGCCACTTCACAGTCAGCCCATAAACTCACCTCCAAAGTATGACCCATCGCTGAGCTTGGTCTCCTTGTTGCCACGAGTTAGTACGCTGACCCGTCCGTGCTGGATGAAATACATTTTACGACCGACAGTTCCCTCGCGAATGATGAAGTCATTGGGCTGGAACACCTCAAACTTCAGCTTCGTTAGCACTGCCGTTACAAAGTTTGGGTCGGCGTTAGCGAAGAGAGGCATGTTAGCCACCAAGCATCGGCAGTTGAAGCTAACAATTTCCTGTTAGGATCACAGTGCACAAGTAGACATTAATTAACTGGTTAAAGTTTGCACAATGCAACAACAAAAACACAGTTACTACCACAATAATGCTGTTTTCATTAGCTTCAAATAAAAAATTAAATAGTTCTGCGATATCTGTTTGTGTCTGAAAACACAACGAATTTCAACCCTACTGCATGAAAAGAGCTGAATAGTAAACTTTAGGGAGTCATGAGTTTAGTACAAACCTCCTTTAAGGGCTCGCTCAGCTCTCCCAGAATGTTGTCCTCGTCAAACATCTTGCCCTGGTATCGATGTTCATAATACTCGTGGATCTTCTGCCTGACATCTGCTGGAAGCTTATGGAACGACATGTACTGCTCCACCTGCTTATACTGGACATCAGATGCTCTCCGTTAGTCAGAACGCCAGCACATCAGACTGATTGGGAATTATGGAATAGATTTAGGTTGCTTTCACACTTGTAGTTCAGTTCTCATGGTTCGTTTGGTCCGGACCAAAAAAGAAAACAATACGTTTGGTCCTGGTCCGCTTAGCATTCACAAAGGCATTTTTGACAGCAAACCTAAAGATACCAAACCTAAAGGCATAGTCATATGTTCACAACCTGATTGGTCAGGTTGAATGACGTATATTTCGTGACGGAAATTACCACACACCCCAAACAATTCTGCTCATTTTGTTTTGGAAACACCGCTTGTTCCGCGTCGTCAAATCATGTCACATAGCATCGCATCTTGTCATTACATCCTGTTTTTGGTTAGTTTATAAGTATTTGGTCCATGTTGCCTTCATATTTCATTCAAACCACACCAGAGTTTGTTTGGAAGCGGACCGAGACCCATCTTTTTAGGGGTCTCGGTTCGCTTCTTTGGTGCGCACCAGGGTTCGGATGGCAGCGTTCACACTTACTCAACCGAACTGAACCACACTAGCAGAGCAATCGCACCAGAGTTTGTTCTAATCGAACCAAACATGACAAGTGTGAACACACCCTTAAAGACAATGTATTCATGAAGTCACCAGAGATCAACATCGTCCAGGGCTTTACCTTCTCCTGGTACTGTCGGCGTGAGGAGTCCAGGGACTGGATGAGGGCCGTGGCGTGACCGATGAACATGGCGTAGCAGGTCGCGCCCACGATCATGCTGAGCATCGTGAGCCAGACGTCCGTCATTCCCTCTGGAGCCTGAGCACCGTAACCGATGCACAGCATGTGACTCATGGCCTTAAACAGTGCATATGTGTATTGGATGCCCCACGTGTCATTCTGAAACACAGATCACACGATGGACAGTAACGACAACATCCACACCATCTGACTGATGCTTGAGCTTCAGCGCTCTCAGACGGATCACAAACATGTGACTCACAGCACTGGGGTCAGTTTAGGGTTTGGGGAAAAATGTCTATATAAAGATGATCCATACACCTTCATTTACTGGCACTGGAAATATGATTTTTGTTCTTTATTTGTTATCTCTTTTCCACTCTTTTCTACTGTACAGATTTAATTTTACATACATACATACATAAATAAACATTATTATTATTATAAAGCACCAATTTCCATAAGATTCCAAACAATAATTAAATTCCCTTCAGGACTCAAAGAGATTTTTAAAAAATACATTTATAATTTATACTAAGGTTTAACCAAATCCAATCAGTGATATTTTAGTATCATTAAGGCACTAGTTTTTTTTATAGTATTTATTAATATTTCGAGTTTTTGGTTTTATATTTTCGGCTTTCATGTTAATTTTAGTTACAGTTGTAGCATTTTTTGTGTTTTTGTCATTTTTATTATTACATTTTGTTTTTAAGTATGTCTATATAGTTGTTATTAATTTTTATTTAATGTTTAATTAATAATTAATTAAAATAATTTTTAATTAATTTTATTTTTAATTTTAGTACAAGTTAAACTAAACGAAAATGACAAATGTTGCCCTGAAAAGTTTTTATATGTTCTATTTTTATAATTATTTCAAGTAATGAAATATTTTTTAATGGTTTTTAGTTTTAGTTAACTATAATAACCCTAAATCAAAGCAAAAATTTTTTACAAAAATTAAAGGAATCCAGTTTAGAAATTAGAATGAAATCAAAATATATATAAATATAAAATCCCCAAAGGGTTAAAGGTTAGAATTAATATTGAATTTATATTGAAATCAAACTTCAATAAATAATAAAGTCCACACTAACTCTATCTAGGTTAGTGGTGGGATAAGGCTTCGGTTAATAAAAATGTGCATCAGTAAATACAGAAAGTGCTGATGATAGTCAGTGATAGTTAGTGATTAGGCTTAGTCAGTGATAGTGATAGTTAGTGATTAGGGTTAGTCAGTAATAGTCAGTGTTAGACAGTCATAGTCAGTGATAGTTAGTGATTAAGTTTAGTCAGTGTTAGTCAGTGATTGTTAATGATTAGGGTTAGTCAGTGTTAGTGAAATTTAGTGATTAGGGTTAGTCAGTGTTAGTTAGTGATTAGGGTTAGTCAGTGTTAGTCAGTGATAGTTAGTGATTAGGGTTAGTCAGTAATAGTCCGTGTTAGACAGTCATAGTCAGTGATAGTTAGTGATTAAGTTTAGTCAGTGTTAGTCAGTGATAGTTAATGATTAGGGTTAGTCAGTGTTAGTGAAAGTTAGTGATTAGGGTTAGTCAGTGATAGTTAGTGATTAGGGTTAGACAGTGTTAGTTAATGATTAGGGTTAGTCAGTTTTAGCCAGTGATTAAGGTTAGTTAGTGATAGTGATATAGTTAGTGATTACGCTTAGTCAGTATTAGTTAGTGATTAGGTTTGTCAGTGATAGTTAGTGATTAGGGTTAGTCAGTGTTAGTGATTAGGGTTAGTCAGTGATAGTTAGTGATTAAGTTTAGTCAGTGATTGTTAATGACTAGGGTTAGTCAGTGTTAGTGAAAGTTAGTGATTAGGGTTAGTGATTAGGGTTAGTCAGTGATAGTTAGTGATTAGGGTTAGCCAGTTTTAGCCAGTGATTAAGGTTAGTCAGTGATAGTGATAGTTAGTGATTACGCTTAGTCAGTGTTAGTTAGTGATTAGGTTTAGTCAGTGTTTGTCAGTGATAGCTAATGATTAGGGTTAGTCAGTTTTAGCCAGTGATTAAGGTTAGTCAGTGATAGTGATAGTTAGTGATTACGCTTAGTCAGTGTTAGTTAGTGATTAGGTTTAGTCAGTGTTTGTTAGTGATTAAGGTTAGTCAGTGTTAGTGATTAGGGTTAGTCAGTAATAGTTAGTGATTAAGTTTAGTCAGTGATCGTTAATGATTAGGGTTAGTCAGTGTTAGTGAAAGTTAGTGATTAGGGTTAGTCAGTGTTAGTTAGTGATTAGGGTTAGTCAGTGATAGTTAGTGATTAGGGTTAGTCAGTGATAGTTAATGATTAGGGTTAGTCAGTTTTAGCCAGTGATTAAGGTTAGTCAGTGATAGTGATAGTGATTACGCTTAGTCAGTGATAATTAGTGATTAGGGTTAGTCAGTGTTAGTGATTAGGGTTAGTCAGTGATAGTTAATAATTAGGGTTAGTCAGTGTTAGTCAGTGATTAGGGTTAGTCAGCAGTGATTCTTTCTCAGTCTGTGGCCTTTCATTCTCATTTGTGTCTTTAGATTATGAACTCGAAGCTTCCAGTATCTCATCTGCGGTTCAGATGCTTTAAAGGAACACAGTGTTTATGTGGGACGGATCTCCCCTTTGGTTTCTCCCAAGGAATCTTCCATACTGTCAAGGAGATTTTCCTTCCGCTGTCTCATCGCATGGGATTCACACTCATTTCTCACAGCGCTGTTCAAACACAGCAGCAATGAAGCACAAAGAGCCTCATGTTGTGTGTTGTGATTGATCACAGCATCATCAATCTCCTTCAATCTGATTCCTCTGAAACAACAGTTAGATGGAGAACTAAATAAACTAAATAAGCAAGTGCATGTGTGTTTTGTGAATGAGCACGTTATGTTTATCTCTCCTGTGCTCAAGACTGACATGATGGAGACAAATATAGCTCAGCTCTCTCTGGGGAACTCTGGGCATCAGCTGCCTAGCAACCGTCACCACGACAACAGGAGGAAACCCTGCTGCGGTGAGTCAGCGATTCAACCTGTGTGTGTGTATTTGTATGTGTTTGTGAGTATGTGTGTGTGTGTGTGTGTGTGTGTGTGAGTGAGTGAGTGTGCGTGCGTGCGTGTGTGTGTCCTGTTTTTAATTAAAGCTATTTCTTAATGTGGCCTCAATTTTCTGACAGGACAAGCAGGTGCATGTCGAAGTGATCAGTCAGTAAAAAACACTGTGTTTACACACAAACACACAGTTTAATCAGCCTCATTCACGTCATGCTGGAATTAAAGTCCATCAAAATGTCACAAAATATGTCTGTATTCAGATGCATGAGAAGGGATCTGGAGCAACTTTACCACTTCACAAGGTGCATGGAAACAAACTGTCTACAAGAATGTGAAAAAGAATCCAGCACTACTTGTGATAAAGGGGACTTTAATACTTTAAAAGCACCAAAGCGTTTCGGCCTAAGAGCTTTCTTCAACACACATCATACACAGACATTCAAAAACACATCTCCATATTGCATTACTCGTTCATAAATTAGCAACAGCTGACAAGCTTAACTAAAGTCATCCCACTACTTAATTAGAGTTAACTATTCAAAAGAAACCACCATCACAGAAACTCTTGAAGAGAAAAATCCTCATTCATACCTTTTGGAAACAGACTTTTCTATACCTTCTGGTATTGAAAAGGTTAAACAGAATACAAGAGGTGGTAATATTGCTTGTATAAAGAAGAAGCGGGAAGCCTTTCGGATCATTTATTTGAAAAGTCTCTAAAAAGTATGAATGAGGATTTTGTACATTAGATCAGTTCATGCATTCCTGGGAATCGAACCTGTGACCTTGGCGTTGCGAGCGTCGTGACCTACTGCTTGAGCTGATGGAATATTTCACACTTCACGATATTCACAGCACAGCACAAAATGCAGGTCAAAAGCGTGAAGTAGTTTAACACACGAGCCTGTAGTGATGAGGAATCAATGTGAATACATCTGCATTATGAGCGTTGCTATAGCAACGAAACACGAATCAAGTCCAAGGACGTGAAGAGCTCAGACTGAATTCTGAATAATCGTCTCATAATTATGCTAATTCTGACATAAGACACGAACGCAGCTTCATGACACTCTAGTGAACTTCAGCACTGACTTCTGAGGAAACGTTATGAGTGAATCAGACACACACACAAACACTCACACTCACACACACACACACACACACA